TGTTCGTTGTCAATTGTGTCCCAAAGTAACCTCTTTCTGATCCAACAATGGCGTCTCAAAACCCAAATCCCACTCGAACCTCGATGTACCCCAAAGTCATCGACTACAATTACCAAACAATTAATCCTCCAAATCCCTCCTCTACAACCCTCTACCCCACCATCGACCCTGTGGAGAACCTCTTCCCCCACAACTACGAAACTCACCCAGCTTCCCCATCCGCCCCTCTCGAATCCATTGAGGAGGCCTACCTCAATATCCCCGGCGCAATCCTCCATTTGATCGACCAGCAATACTCCGTTGAGCTTGCTTCAGGCGAACTCCAAATCATCCTCCTTTATCAGGGGGATAACACCGTCGCTGCCTTTGCGCGTGTCGCGGATGAGACCCAATGGCCCTTGACGAAAGACCTTGCAGCTGTTAAGCTTGATCAAGCCCATTACTTCTTCTCCTTCCAACCCCCTAAGGAAACTGAGAATTCTGACTCCAGCGATGATGACGGAAAAGAGAAAAAGAAGAAGAAGAAGAAGAAGAAGAAAAATAATAAAAAGGAAAAGATGAATATGGAAAATGAGGTGTTGAGTTACGGGTTAACGATAGCGTCTAAAGGGCAGGAGGGGGTCTTGAAGGAGTTGGATAGAGTTTTGGAGACTTACTGTAACTTTTCAGTTCGGAGGGTGGAGGAGAAAGAGATTATAGCGGAGGCAGGGGCAGCGGCGAGGGAAATTACAGCAGGGGAGTTGAATACTGACAAGAAGAGGATGGAGGCTGTGGAGGGGCAGTGCGCAGCCTACTGGACGACTCTGGCACCTAATGTGGAGGAGTACAGCGGGACGGCAGCTAGGCTGATTGCGGCAGGGTCAGGGCATCTGGTTAAGGGTATATTGTGGTGTGGAGATGTGACTGTAGATCGGTTGAAGTCGGGGAATGAGATGTTGAAGAAGAGGATGACTCCAGGGGACAATGCAGAGATTGATCCTAAGACCTTAGAGAGAATTAAGAGGTTTTGTGGTGCTTTTGTCTGTTTGTTTACTTGTCTTTCACCGTATGTCTTTAATTCGTTTGCTGTAACATGGCATTGTCAGTTGTGTATGTTCGCTCTGAAAACATGATTTTCTAACTTTATACCTGATTTAGTAATGTCCTAGTGACTTATACCCTATTTTTAATTTTCTGTTTACGTAAAGATGAAGAAATGAGACATTTGCATAATTTTCGTAATTTTCTTTAGGGTTAAGAGGGTGACAAAGATGACCGAGAAAGTAGCAGTCGGGGTACTTTCAGGAGTTGTGAAAGTTACGGGTTTCTTTACTGGTTCTGTTGCAAATTCTAAAGTAGGAAAGAAGTTCTTTGGTCTCCTGCCAGGAGAAATTGTCCTTGCATCTCTGGATGGATTTAGTATGTGAAACATCCCTTTCACTTTTATTTTTAATGTTGATGCTATTATGCTGCACATTATATAATTAAGTTACTTGATTTAACTAGGCATCTATTATTTAATTGTACCGTCTTTTTCCCTTTGATGTTTTGCATGAGTTATTAACTTATTATCACACAACTTCTATTCTCCTTTTTATTACTCTCCTCACATATGTACAAGACTGAATAAAGCATTTTGTTTGCTTGTATGGTGTTTGGTCTATAACTTTTTTACAAGCTACATGGTCAAATTATAACTCAGATGTATTTGGGGCTCTATGATGAAATTGGAGGGTTTAGAAATGGTTCTAGGTGTGGAATTGAAACTTCTAGTTAGAAAAGCAAAACTTCCCGAGGAGAGTTAACCCTAGTTGTAGCCCCACCCCTTACAATAAGTATTGTTAAGTTATGGAACCTAATCATTATTGTTGTATAGAGCCAGTACTCGGATCAATCTCTGCGGTGAGGTCGACATGGGGGTAGGAGGCCCCGCATCTCCATCCCCCGGAGCAAAATTTCATCAAGGATAGTTAGGAATTTATGTCCTTGTAAATTTTAATTTTTCCCTGATTTGTCTTATAAATAGGGAGTTGTCATTAGGCTTTTATATTTCACCATAAAAGAGAAAAATAGAGATTAAAGAATATAGGTGTGTAATTTTCTCTTGTAAACTTCAATTCATCATAGTGAATTACTACTATGGCCGAAAGAGGACGTAGTCTTACATTGAGGCTAACCTCCATGAATCTTATGTAACTTTAATTATTTCTATTAATTGATTTGCTCTTGGTGGAATAGAATTAGAATTTCTAATTCTCAACATGTGTTGGCGAGAGAAAAGAAGAAAAGGAAAAATATTTATTTGAGCTTCATATGTAGTTAACTACTGAATTGCAAGAATTGGTCTGCTTTTCAATTGAAATTTTCTAGGTCTACTGGAAAAATTTATTAGAATTAACCTCCGTTTGGCAAATTTATAAATGGTTTATAAAGAGGAATCATAAGAGAAATACTAGTTGGTCTCACGAAATATGTGGATAATGAATAGTAATTATGAACGTGTGGTTGAAATTGATATTTGACTTGAACTGAATTGATAAACAATTTATAATTTGTATCCAAACGGAAGCTAAGTAATCATTTCTGATAGAATTAAAGATATTTCTCATCCAATGGAGCATTTATATTTTCTAAATCATTGTCAGCCAGAAGAGTGTGGATATTTTCACTTTGATATTTTTAACTCGTAGAAAGAATAGCTGGCCAATTATTTTTGAACTCATAACAAAATACAATGCAAAAGGTTTAGCTTGAACTGAGTTCAGCTGGTATGTTTAGTTTGGGTTCTTTCCTAGTGTGTTCGGTCTCTAGAAAGAAAAAAGTTGCTATGTAAGTAGAAGTCAACATCAAATTATATCAAGTCTTCCGGTCACTTCAGATAAACTTATAGAAAGTAATGAGAGAATTTTATATATTCTGAATCAATAATTAACGAGGTACAATGCCTCAAAATATATAATATGGTACAATAGATGGAAAGAAGGAAAAGAATATTCTATCTAAGGAAAGGAAAATATATTCCCTAAATTTATGCTAATTACAATCCTCCCATATAAAATAGGATATAAACGGGATTTCCTACACTCCCCCTCAAGTTGGATCATAGATATTGATTATATCCAACTTGTAGATGCATTCATCGAATGTTTGTCTTTGTAGTCCTTTTGTGAATACATCTGCAGTCTGTTTTCTAGTAGGGATGTAAATCATACAGATAGTTCCACCTTCAACTTTTTCTTTGATGAAGTGTCTGTCCACATCTACATGTTTGGTTCTATCATGTTGAACTGGGTTGAGTGAGATGCTAATAGCCGCTTTGTTGTCACAATAGAGTTTAATTGGAAATTTTGTTGGAATCTGTAGCTCATTCAATAGTTTCTTTAGCCATAGACCTTCACATATTCCCTGAGCAGCTGCTCTAAACTCTGCTTCTGCACTACTCCTGGCTACTACATTTTGTTTCTTACTTCTCCAAGTGACTAAGTTCCCCNTAACGACGACATATTGAGCCCCTGTTTGTCTACCATTCTTTGAAAATCTTTTATTTTTTTATTTCTAAAACTCATTTTCAATCACACATTCTTACAACAAAATATTTTGCACATAAATTTAAAAAATTCTTAATTTTTAATCACACATTTTCCAAAAAATCATTATTTCAAAATTCATTTTCCCTAAAAAAATCTTTTTAATGAGGGAGCTGAATCTTGAGGTCGAAACCTTTGATCATCACTTTACCTTCTTTTTCTTCGATATCAAACATCAAAACCCTGGACATGTAAACATGCATCGGTTAAGATCGTGTAACCCAATGAAACCTCAGATTAAGATATTTATCTCGAATAATTTACCTCAAATGTTGTGATTGGAAATATCAATTTAACTCCTCAAAATCTATTGTTTGAATTCCAACCGAAGCCTGATAGTGCTACCTTGCAGTCACTAGCAATCAAGCCATTAGGCTTATGTTCTCCTGTTCTTCATCATCTGTTCTTTCTCAGCCTCAATTTATTGGTCATGCACTTTAAGGCACCGTTTGGTAACCATTATTCTAGAAAAGAATGCATTCTTTGTGTCAAATCACACCTTTTTTGTGGTTGAAAATGAAGGAAAAGTTATTGATGTGATGGAAAATATTATTTTATTGATGAATGTATGGTTGAAAATTAGTAGAAGAATGAGAATGAAAAAAAGAATGGATACCAAATAGAGGCTAAATTTTCAACTTCACCTTCTTAATGCATTTCTCATTTCATTTCCTCGTCCCTTTCCCCAAGCAAGTTCACTCTAAAATAACAAAAATTAAAGAAAAAAACAATACAAAATCGAGTTAAAACGAATAATTGGACAACATTAAGGAATATAGCCGCTGGATGGATAATTATTTTAGAAAAATAATATTTTGAATAGTGATTTTTAGAAGAATGTGTGGTTAAAAAGTAGGAAAAAATTTTAAGTTCACGTGTAAAATATTTTATCACGTGAATGTATGGATGAAAATAAGTATGTAAGAAGAAGAGCTTGAAAAGTATGATCGCCAAACAGGACATAATAAGACAATTTTACACTCATCGAAAAAAAATAAAAAAAAATTATTTTAATCTTTAATTACCACACAGTTCCCTTCCGGTACCGGCTCCTAAAAATCCGAGTAATGTTATTCATCTCCAGTGAGGATGAAAATACAGTTTATGTGGCTTTAAATAATAGGTTAAAAGATATGAGTCATTTAATTTCACCTATCATTTAACGCCATATTAACGTCATATTAATGCCACATAGATGGTGTATTCATTTTCAGTGGGGATAAATAGCATTACTTTAAGAATCCCGATGGAACGAGAGATGGCCGCGCCCCCGCTCGATTGCCATTGCCTATTGTGTGGGGATGTGAAAAATTGCAGTAATGGGACCGACTTTTAGTAGTTCGTCGGTCCAATTTTCCTTTGATACAATTCAATGTTTCTTCTCCTTGTTCATTGTCAATTTGTGGTCCAAAGTAACCTCTTTCTGATCCAGAAATGGCGTCTCAAAACCCAAATCCCACTCGAACCCCGATGTACCCCAAAGTCAACGACTCCAATTACCAAACAATTAATCCTCCAAATCCCTCCTCTACAGCCCTCTACCCCACCATCGACCCCGTGGAGAACCTCTTCCCTGACAACTACGAAACTCACCCAGCTTCCCCATCCGCCCCTCTCGAATCCATTGAGGAGGCCTACCTCACAATCCCTGGCGCAATCCTCCATTTGATCGACCAGCATTACTCCGTTGAGCTTGCTTCAGGCGAACTCCAAATCATCCTCCTTTATCAGGGGGATAACACCGTCGCTGCCCTTGCGCGTGTCGCGGATGAGACCCAATGGCCCTTGACGAAAGACCTTGCAGCTGTTAAGCTTGATCAATCCCATTACTTCTTCTCCTTCCAACCCCCTAAGGAAACTGAGAATTCTGACTCCAGCGATGATGACGGAAAAGAGAAAAAGAAGAAGAAGAAGAAGAAGAAGAATAAAAAGAAGACTAAAAAGAATAAAAAGGAAGAGATGAATATGGAAAATGAGGTGTTGAGTTACGGGTTAACGATAGTGTCTAAAGGGCAGGAGGGGGTCTTGAAGGAGTTGGATCGAGTTTTGGAGACTTACTGTAACTTTTCAGTTCGGAGGGTGGAGGAGAAAGAGATGATAGCGGAGGCAGGGGCAGTGGCAAGGGAAATTACAGCAGGGGAGTTGAATACAGACAAGAAGAAGATGGAGGCGGTGGAAGGGCAGTGCGCAGCCTACTGGACGACGCTGGCACCTAATGTGGAGGAGTACAGTGGGAAGGCAGCTAGGCTGATTGCGGCAGGGTCAGGGCATCTGGTTAAGGGTATATTGTGGTGTGGAGATGTGACTGTAGATCGGTTGAAGTCGGGGGATGAGATATTGAAGAAGAGGATGACTCCAGGGGACAATGCAGAGATTGATCCTAAGACCTTAGAGAGAATTAAGAGGTTTTGTTGTGCTTTTGTCTGTTTGTTTACTTGTCTTTCACCGTATGTCTTTAACTCGTTTGCTGTAACATGGCATTGTCAGTTGTGTATGTTCGCTCTAAAAAGCATGATTTTCTAACTTTAAACCTGATTTAGTAATGTCCTAATGACTTATGCACTATTTATAATTTTCTGTTTACATAAATATGAAGAAATGAGACATTTGCATAATTGTCGTTATTTTCTTTAGGGTTAAGAAGGTGACAAAGATGACCGAGAAAGTAGCAGTCGGGGTACTTTCAGGAGTTGTGAAAGTTACGGGTTTCTTAACTGGTTCTGTTGCAAATTCTAAAGTAGGAAAGAAGTTCTTTGGTCTCCTGCCAGGAGAAATTGTCCTTGCATCTCTGGATGGATTTAGTATGTGAAACATCCCTTTCACTTTTATTTTTATTGTTGATGCTTTTATGCTGCACATTATATTAAGATACTTGATTTAACTAGGCATCTATTATTTAATTGTACTCAATTGGTCATACTTTGGGTTTGTTCCCCAATGGTTACCAGTTCGAATCCCCTTAAGGCCATTGAGGTGAGTACCCGACCGTAAACTTCAGGGTCCCGTGGAATTAGTCGAGGTACGCGCAAGCTGGCCTGGACATCCACGGTTATCAAAAAAAAAAAAAAATGTACACCTCATGCATGCTTGGAAAAAAAAAAAAAATTATTTAATTGTACTGTCTTTTTCCCTTTGATGTTTTGTATGAGTTATTAACTTATTAATCGATTATAATACTTGCTATTAGTGCATATATTATACAAGCAATCTAATCCTTCATATTGCTGGGTGATGTTTCACATTAAGGTGAGGGCCAGATAACGATGCCCAAGTTATAAATTTCTCAAAAGCAGGATTGGAAATTTTGACTTGTGCTTTAATACTTACATCTCACACAACTTCTAAGTTATAAAAAAAATGAAGAAATCATCTATTCTCTTTTTTATTACTCTCCTCACATATGTATAAGACCGAATAAAGCATTTTGTTTGCTTGTATAGTGTTTGGTCTATAACTTTTTTACAAGCTACATGGTCAAATTATAACTCAGATGTATTTGGAACTTTAATGTTTTAGATAGGCTCTTTGATGAAATTGGAGGGTTTGGAAATGGTTCTAGGTATGGAATTGAAACTTCTAGTTAGAAAAGCAAAACTTCCCAAGGAGAGTTAACCCTAGTTGTAGCCCCACCCCTTACAATACGTATTGTTAAGTTATGGAACCTAATTATTACTGTTGTATAGAGCCAATACTCGGATCAACCTCTACGATGAGGTCGACATGGGGTAGGAGGCCCCGCATCTCCATCCCCGGAGCAAAATTTCATCAAGGATAGTTACGTATTTATGTCCTTGTAAATTTTAATTTTTCCATGATTTGTCTTATAAATAGGGAGCCTCATCATAAAAGAGAAAAATAGGGATTAAAGAATATAGGTGTATAATTTTCTCTTATAAACTTCAATTCATTATAGTGAGTTACTACAGCGGCCGAAAGAGGACTTAGACTTAGATTGAGGCGAACATCTATGAATCTTACGTAACTTTAATTATTTCTATTAATTGATTTGCTCTCAATGGAATAGAATTAAATTTTCTAATTCTCAACATGTGTTGGCGAGAGAAAAAGAAGAAAAGGAAAAATATTTATTTGAGCTTCATATGTAGTTAACTACTGAATTGCAAGACTTGGTTTTCTTTTCAATTGAAATTTTCTAGGCCTAGTGGGAAAAAGAATAATTAATTTACTAGAATTAACCTCCGTTTGGCAAATTTATAAATGGTTTATAAAGAGGAATCATAGGAGGAATACTAGTTGGTTTCACGAAATGTGTGGATAATGAATAGCAGTTATGAACGTGTGGTTGAAATTGATATTTGACTTGTACTGAATTGATAAACAATTTATAATTTTTATCCAAACGGAAGCTAAGTAATCATTTCTGATAGAATTAAAGATATTTCTCATCCAATGGAGCATTTATATCTTCTAAATCACTGTCAGCCAGAAGAGTGTGGATATTTTCACTTTGATATTTTCGACTCATAGAAAGAATAGCTGGCCAATTATTTTTGAACTCATAACAAAATACAATGCAAAGGGTTTAGCTTGAACTGAGTTCAGCTGGTATGTTTAGTTTGGGTTCTTTCCTAGTGTGTTCGGTGTCTAGAAAAAAAAAAAGTTGCTATGTAAGTAGAAGTCAACATCAAATTATATTAAGTCTTCCAGTCACTTCAGATAAACTGGTTTAAATTATCCTTCAATAGGTTTTGTCATTCCGTGGCTTTCTATGAAAATATCTTTATCTCCTCTTGACAATACAGGGTTCTTCTGTTATTTCACTTACTCTTTAGAGTTTTACTTACTGGATGTGGCTTTATGCATCCTTTTGGTGTGTATTAACTAGGAGAAACTTCACATTCATTGCTGCAGCGTTAAGAGTCTATTAAGTGAATGGTGTTGTGGTCTAACTTGATTTAATTTGATTGTTTCATTATCCGTAGTAATTTATTCAAACTTGCGCATTACTTCATAGCGAGGTGAATTGACATATACGTATTGCTAATAGGCAAAATCTGTGATGCTGTTGAAGTAGCTGGAAAGAATGTGATGTCAACCTCTTCCACTGTGACGACTGGACTTGTCTCCCATAGGTATCCTTGCCATCTATGATCTTGATCATGCATGAGTGGAACAGTAAAAGTTATCAAAATATATCATTTTTGCTGTATGCCTATGGGATTAGTAAATTACTTGTTGATATCCATTTCCTTTACATTCATTTCATGTTAGATTGATATATCTAATTTATTGATAAAATTGTTCATTTTGGTAACTGTACACCTGGTATGGAGTTGGCATGTTTGGTAAGGTAGAGTACGAAGCAAGAATTAGAAGCTACAACTGTATTATCCAATCCTGCGTACCAAGCATGGCATTATGGTCATGTATCATATGAAAATTTAGAGAGTTGAAACTTTCATTTTGAAGGTATGGAAAAGAGGCAGGTGAGGTAGCAAGTGAAGGACTGGATGCTGCAGGACATGCTGTGGGAACTGCATGGACTGTTTTTAAGATCAGGAAGGCCTTCAATCCAAAAAGTGTTCTAAAGCCCTCTACCCTGGCTAAATCTGCTGTCAAGACTGCTGCAGCTGAAAAGAAGGGAAAAAGTTCCAAGTAATGGCTGATGAGTCATACAATTTCTTTGACTTCTACAGGCGTTTTAGTTTCCAGATTCATTGAAGTTAAAGAAGCAGATAACAACCTTAGTTATCTTTTTACATACTGTTGTTGTCCAGTTTTTTTTTTTTTTTTGGTTCAATTTCATTATTTGTTGTATAACTTGTACTCAAATAGCTCAAATTTGTTTCTTGTTAATAATCTATTTCAGGATATCATAATTAACTTTTTCCCCTCAAGTTGATAGGACGTCTCTTGAAAGTATGAGAAATACTTAGCAAACAACAATAGCAAGGCAAAATTTTTGTGTTTATTACAAGTTCATTTCCCTACATTATAAAATTTAGCTTGATCCCTATTTTTTTTTTTTAACTATACATTCTTCAATGAAATAATATTACACACGCAATTCATGAACGTTTTCTTTACTTTTAACTTCACGTTTTCCATCAATCTATTATTTCAAAATGCATTCTATATAAAAAAAAAGGGTTCAAATAGATCCTTAATTTTTGTCATTTCGAAAATTTAAAATTTGAAAATAAAGAGAAATTTGAGTTTTTATAGAATATTAAATTAAAAATATATATTTTTCCTATTGAGTTGCGCTAAAACTATGAATTTGTAAAATATTAATGAAATTATTTAGTTTTGAATTTTGATTATCCAACAACTTTTGTTGCAAAGTAGAGAAGAAGGGCATATAAAATAGATTTTTGACATGAAATAATTTTAGGATTTAGCGTTCAAAGATCTTGTACGTCTTGGTGCAATACACCTACGAAAAATTCGAAAAATAGAATCTAGAATCGAACCGAAATCAATCGGTTCTAATATGATCCCATTGACTTACTTAGTAAAGAATTCGAAGTTAAATTCTATCTACTTTTAGTCCTATTCCATCGATTCCACCTATTCTTGAAAAATGCCCACCTCTGCTGAAAAATAACGAAAGAAATAGTGAAATACTAGGCCCTATTCCATTAGTAAGTAGGCTAGGGCTGATTTATCAAATTCTGATTTTAGTGATTCGATTTGGGAAATAAATTGAGGAACATACAAGTCAAGAACAGTCCAACAAGGCAAGTCCAGGAGGCGAATAGAGACATGGCATCAAGCAATGCCGTCCATTGTATACTATTCAATCTTATTCTTTGATTTTGTTTGTGTTTGCATCACAGTCTTCGACTATTATATACTGTATCCATCAAAACCATAAAGAAAAAACTTGATTGGGATTCGAAATGGTAAAGTTTTCTCCATTAGTTGCAGCTTTACTGTGCATTGCTTTTGCATATGGTGTCAATGGGTATATCAAATACAACACTGGGAGTGGCATTGTAGATGCGAAATTGAACGTTCATTTGGTTCCCCATTCGCATGATGACGTGGGCTGGCTCAAGACAGTTGATCAGTACTATGTTGGATCAAATAACAGTATTCAGGTGTGAAATATAAGTGATTATGCAGCTCGGGTCAATTGGTTTAGTTTCCTACTTTTTACTCTGAATTTGGATATTTGAATTGATGCAGGGTGCATGTGTGGAAAATATTTTGGACTCTGTTGTTATGTCATTGCACCGCGACCCTAATAGGAAGTTTGCTTTTGCTGAAATGGTAGCAATACTTCTTCTGAATTTCTTGATGTTATTGTTTTTGGACTAGAATCAATAATTATCTGAAATTTATCGGTTTCAAATGACTTGGTTAAAGGTGAAGTTCATGCAGTTTTTTTTTGCTTTAAGGTGCACATTGTGGAATTATATAAAGCATTGCACCATTTTGCGAATGCAACTGTTTGCAGACTATAAAAGTATGCTTCACATATCCCAAAGGCCAATTTTTTTTTACTTGGTTAGAATATTATCCTGAGCGTGCAGCAAGATTGAGATCGTACTGGGCACATTATGGTTGTGATTTTCCTACTCCTAAGAGAAAGTACTTTGCTTTTGGTGTAATCAGGTGGTCTTTGTAATGGAAGAGATGTTTGGCTTGTCCATTAAATCATCTTGAGTCCTTTTTTTTTTGGAAAGGTAGATCATCTTGAGTTCTCAATGAAATGGTTCTTGACTATCTAATCCGTCCTTTCTCCTATGTCTCCTCGTAGAGATAATATATGACGAATAAAGTTAAGTATAGGTGACATTTTATGTCCAAATGCCTCCTAGTATCAAGTCAAATATGGACTATTAATTTCTGCAGAGGGTCTGGCAGATCTGTAGCTTCTTTTCAAGTATTAGGCATAGTTAGGGTCATGTCTTTCATTATTCTTGATATTCTAAAGTGCTTCTCCCTTTCATTGTTCAGTTGGAGTTGAAATTAGTTATATTACATCACAGGAATATTACATCCACGTCTGTCACACAAATCGTGACAATGTTGAACATTACTTGCCAATTGAACAAGTCCATTTCAACTTCATGATGATGATCCCGGAGAAATTGCTACTTTGCAAGTAGAAATGCAGGAGTACATGAGTAAATATAGTTAGTACTGCATCAGCTCTAAGTTGTACTCAACTGTTAGGACAACCACAAGATCATTGAAAAAGAGAGAGAGAGGGATTGAAGAAGATGAAACAGAAAATGAAAAGAACACACAATTTATGTGGTTCAGTTCCATTGACTCTCCATGGACTAAGATAACAATGAGAGAAATAATACTGGGTCATGCAGTATACACAATGGTTGAAGTTCACTAATATTATGACTATCTCACAGTTTGTTGAATAAAGTGCTGTGCTTAAACACATCGTCTCATGCAGATGCTTGATGTGTATAAATTTCCAACTTCAGCAAAGTTTCTTTCATCATTAACAAAAATAAATTGCTATTGTAATAGGCATTTTTCGATAGATGGTGGAAGAGTCAAAATCCAGAAATTCAAGAAGAAGTACGGAAACTTGTTGATGCCGGCCAGTTGGAATTCGTGTAAGCATCAGGTTGCAACCTGCTATCCATATCCTTTCCAAGAGAATTTGGCATAAAACTATTTAATGATAATTATTGCAGAAATGGTGGCTGGTGTATGCATGATGAAGCTGCTACTCATTATATAGACATGATTGACCAAACAACTCTAGGCCATCAACTGATAAAGAATCAATTTAATAAGACTCCTCGTGCCGGATGGCAGATCGACCCATTTGGGCACTCTGCAGTGCAAGCTTACCTACTCGGGGTTGAGGTATTTAAACTTATCTATTTGTGGTTGTCAATATTCAAGAACTGTTAGCTTAACATAATCTTAATCTAAGTCCATATCTACAGACTTGTTATCACACGTTTACACGTTAATTTTTTATTTATTTTTATATAGATGGGATTTGATTCCGTTCATTTTGCACGGATTGATTATCAAGACAGAGAAAAACGTCAGAAAGATAAATCCCTCGAAGTTATATGGCAGGCTTCCAGGACATTTGGCTCTTCTTCTCAGGTTAGGAAATGCATATGCTGCTCCAAACACAATTTTAGTGTTACTGCTTCATTTGATTACTTTTAGTCTGGGTCCTTGCAGATATTTGCCAATGCATTTCCTGTTCATTACAGCCCACCAAATGGGTTCTCTTTTGAAGTAAATAATGATTTCAATTCAGTCCAGGTTCCATCTTTAAGCAAAGATCAATTGTCAGTTTTTACTCCTTGTTCTTCATGTAAGCAATATCCTAATACTTCTCAGCTTCCTAAAATGCAGGATGATCCCCTCCATTTTGACTTTAATGTGGACATGAGAGTTAATGATTTTATTAGTAGTGCTGTGATTCAAGTAAACTCTACATTTCTCTTATTCCTTAAATTCAATAATTACCAAAGCTTCTAACTGGATGAGCATTTAGAAGGTAAGATTGCATATGCAGTCGATGATCATTTCCCCTTTGATACATAGGCAAATATGACGCAAACTAATCATATTATGTGGACAATGGGCGATGACTTCCAATATCAATATGCCGAGTCTTGGTTCAAGCAAATGGACAAACTAATTCATTATGTGAACAAGGTAGTTTCTGTTGCAAAAGTTGATTTCATTAATTCTAAAGAAAATCTCAATGGGAATATATACATAATTGATTCTAAAGAATTGTTTCCTCATCTTCAAGTTCATCATTGAAGAAAACATTTTTAACATCCAATTGTTATAACATCCAAGCCAAATTGGCTGATATAATATGAACCTGATTGCATTCATCTTGGCAACTTGGGCAAATGTCTCTTGATGATCTGTACGAGATGCATTGTCACCATCCATTGAAAGACCCCTTTTGTAATAATATGACATTGTATCCAAACAGTTTCTAGAACATAATATAGCACAATGTATTGGGCGGAAAGAGAAGTCAGCAAGAGAAGACTGGTGAATATAGCAATTTAAAAATATATATGTAGAATAATCTTTAGCACAAATGATTGAAAATCTTTGGACTTGTTCTCTTTGCTTTTTTTTAGGTCATTTTTAATTTTCGAAAATACTTAAAACACGTTTAATTACCTATTTTCAGAAACGAATGTTCAAAAACGAGTTTAAAATTTACAAAGAAAACGGAAAACGCCAAAAATGTCGTTTTGGCTGTTTTCAGTTAAAATCAAGCCAAAACTTCATTTTTTTTTAATTTTTAAAAACAATTTTTCAAAATGACAAAAAGAACGCTTTTCAACAATCTCAAAATAGACACTCAAAACACAAAACCCAAAATGAATTCAAAACTCAAACCTAAAAATTGAAACACAAAGAGAATATCCCCTTAGTTTTCAAGCTACATTTACTTATTTCTAGGTCGTCCTATCGGCCTAACCTTTCCTTTTCAACCCACCTCATGAAATAGTCTTCTAATCCTAATGAATTCCCCTTGACTCGTGTTAGCTTATCTTTTCTTTTTACAATTACCTAGGTACTAAAAAGCGGGAGAAAATGGTAGGACAGCCCATTTATTCTTTTCTTTTCATTATCTCGTTAGGTAATTTTTAAGTGGATGGCAGAGTTAGTACCTTTATGTTCTTCGGCTCGGCTATATTTGACCCATGACATTACACTTAGATCCTTGTTATGGTCATGTCCATAATTGGTTTAGTTAAAGAACAATTATTTGATCAGATTTCTGTAATTAAATGAAAGAAACAATCAATCAATCAGTACTAAAGTTAGTGAACTTCATAAGATTGGAATCCTAAGACCGAGTATGCCAAGGTTGAGGCTAATGTCACTTATGCAAGTCCCTGGAAGTTCGCCTTTGATGTATATCTTTAATTCTTCCCTCTTGAATGCTTTAAAGAAAGAAGTGATGTTCATATATTCCCTTCTGGGAATATGTTTGGTAGGTCGAGGATACTTTTGTGTTACTTTTCCCAGATTATATAGTTTACCATTATCATATCAGGGATTCTGTCTACAATTCTCTTTCTTGGAATTTCCAACTTTATCATAAATTTAATGATAGAGAAATAATATGGTTTTCTACTGTAATACTGTTAGATCTTCTTCCCATTAGCTCCTTTTCATTTCACATAATTCTAGAGTTTGTGGCCTTGATAATTTGGGTGCTGTTGCCAGTAATCTTTTTCTCATACCTTGTTTGCTATAGGCCCTCTTTTTCATTTCCTCTGGCCTAACAAAACAGTCTCACTGAAGTCAAGACTCTGACTTGGTCTATGGTGCTTAATTGGTGGAAAACTAATATTTCTTGTAGGAAAGGAGATATAATAAATCTTATACTTGTTCTTTACATAATAGAGAATTTCAAAATTCTGTTTTTTCGCATAGCGATGATACTGCGGAACTATGTTGGATGTAACGCTAAGACCACAACTATTTTGTGTACAAGATATATTTTTTAAAGGGAGTCCTTAGTCTTACTTGGAGGCTGGAGCCAGCTGATAAAATGGGTGAAAGAATGGAAGTAAGATACTAAATTTTATGTAATATAATTGGAGGATATTTTGGCTAACAAGGTCCTAGGTTCAAGTGTAATTGTCACCCAATTATGAAAATTGAATATTCCACACATCAGGTTTTTGAAGAAAAATGAATCGGCCTCAATGTTTGGGGGAGGTGTTGTGAAGATAAAAATATTAATGAATAAAGTTCCTTACTTTCTAATGACCTGAGCTTTTGATTGAGATGGTTTAACAGTTGGTAAACATTTGTACATAACTGCATTAGCACGAGCAATAGTTACATCACTTCCAACATAATTTGATTTTTAACTAGGTGAACAAACTCAATTTAAAACTTTATAGACAGGTGCTTTAGGCTGTTAGAATGTCCCAAGATAAAGTTTCTCCTCCTCACTTGGGATGTGATTATTTCTTTGTCCTGTTTGTTGCCTGAATAGACCAGCGCTTTCATCGGCAATGGTTTGGTTGATATACGATGCATTTGGAGTTTCCTCGTCATTTATGTCTTATTTACATGATCATCTTTTTATATTTAGTTTAGAAAACTACTTGTCAAGGAATTCTATACATTCCTTTTTTATCAATAAAATTCTTTTTGTATAAAAATACTGGATTTTATGACATGATGGTTCTCACCCTCCATCCAATTGCATAGTTGCCAAGCTTTTACCTTTATTCACTTGCATTATCTGGAATTGAAAATGCTTGGCATAATCATAATGAATCTAAGAAAGCTCATTACCACAGGATGGCCGGGTGAATGCATTATATTCTACCCCATCTTTCTATGTGGATGCAAAACGTGCTGCCAATGAATCTTGGCCTTTGAAAACTGATGATTATTTCCCGTAACCACTGCTCAACTCTTATTCTGATATCATATGTTCTGATTGTTCTATTTGATTTGATAATGAAACTCTTATATATATTTCTCTGTTGATTTGCCACAGATATGCAATCAGTGCTAATACATACTTCACTGGTTTTTTTACAAGTCGCCCCACCTTGAAGCGATATGTACGTATGCTGAGTGGATATTATCTGGTAAGTTTGTACAATCTTCTTCTTCTTACGATATTAAAGTTGGATTGTCAAGTTCATTGAAGTTAATTATGGATCAAACTACAATAATATGAACAATACCATTATGACTGTAATCAGAGGTGGACATCTTAGGTCCCAGCTTTCAGCCAAATCAAGCATTCCGATAATAATTAATGTGGGGTGGCGGAAGCGTAACAATAATGAACGAACATGTTATTGAAGTTCTGATTCCAACTGAATACAGTAACATAATCACCTTCTAATTTTGGTTGTTTTCTAAGAATACCAAAAATGTAGGCATAAATTTTTTTTTGATTCGAGCAGGAATACAAAGATTTGGATTCGTTGATTTTAAATATCAAATACTGAAAATTTACGAAATAATGAAGAAAATCTCAACAATTATTATTTCAATTCAATAAATAACTTTTTTGTCGTAAGGCTTGCAACTCATATTTAAAGAAGTAAATAACATCTGGATAATAATAGAACTCTCAATAATGACTAGCTCTAGATAACGACTAAAGTCTATATAATGATTTAAATTAAAAAGCTCCTAATATTTAGAATTAATTCGAAATAAATGTAATTAAAGTTCAAATTTATTTCATGAAGAAAATACTAACTAAAAAATAATTGAAACTCAATTTTCATCAGTCTCCTCCGATTGACGGAGATTCATCCTCGAATATTGCACCGTTTTCTTCATCGAATTCCTCATAAGGCCGATATTTTACTTAGAAAATGTGCTAGACACGCCATAAAAAAACTCTTCAAAAGATGGTCGAACTATAGCAAACATCTCAAGAATCACAGACTCTCGTGTGGCACTTAAAACCATCCGTGGTTTCTTTAGACCACTTATTAGAGACATTGGCATCAGGCTCTTACAGAAAATAGGTGGACCATTATAACTGTCTTCACACAAACTCATACATTCTTTAATTTCTTCATCAAAGATCGAGGACCCATCGTATCATTACCCAAATCCACAAATTCTTCAATTTCTTATAAAAAATTGGAGGACTGTTGTAATTGAAATCCAACTATTCTTCCGCATCCTATTTAAAGTGACAAAAAGTGTTTCGTCCCAAAACTAGGGGTGGGCGCGGGTTGGTTCGGTTCGGTTCGGTTCGAGAAATTTTCGGGTATTTAGTAAATGGAACCGTCGGTTCCAAATATAATTTTGGAACCGTTCGGGTACGGTTCCGTACTATAATTAAAATTTTTAACATTTAAAATAATACTACATAAATACACCTGAAAGTGGATACTAATATTAATAACAAAAAGTAGATACAAATACCAAATTCAATCTTAACCTTTACAAATTAACGTAATCTAATTTAATAACATATAAATAATAAGTTGTCAAATACAAATACCAAAAAGTAAATATTACTAATAAAACTTCGATAATTCATATCAATAATTCATTTGCTTCAAACATTCAAGTCTACATAAAAATGAAATATAAATTAGAAGTAATAAAGATAAAATATTTTAAAGTATTGATAATACT